GTTGGGACTAAGCCAAGGTGTGCATTTAGAGAGGGTGTGCATTTACAGAGGGTGCACTTAGAGAGGTTAGACTGTATTATGCTGCATTTAATCAATTATTGACTTGCGTTATTGTTTATATGCGGGGTAGGAATTTAATTGTTTACCAATATATCGTAATGAAATATGATGTAATCGAAACATACCTGAATAAAAGAAAAAAAAATGTGATTAGAAAAATGATCTGCTCTCTTTTTCTTTTCGTTCTAGTTGAAAGTTAACCCGTGATCATTTGAAATTAACGAAGTTCACCTGTGCAACAAAAGAAAAAACTAAACGTGATATAATACAAGCCTTTCAATAACCTGAAGTAATGGAAGGTTAGTTTGCATATTTAATGTCGCTTATATGTTAAAATTTTTGTTAACACTCATGAAGACTAAAAAACGCAACTAAATTTATAATAAATAAGGAGACCAACCGGTTACCTTTTTGGAAGAGTTTCAAAACAATATTTCTTTCGCAGAGTATGGTGATGGAGATAACTTGGCTGCTATCTGGGCGGGTACGAACAACCAACAAATTTATGGTCATTAAGACCTTTGGATGGATGTAAACGTTGCAAACAACCAACAAACTTACGATTGGGATGATCTAATAAGCATGAATACCATTTATAACAATATAATTGCTGGAGCAAATCACTCAAATACCATTTTAGACAACTTTTTAACAATTGAAGGAAACCACATAAATGCCATTCAAGGTGATTTAAATAACCTTACAAATGTTGGCGAAGATTACTTAGCTGCTATTTATGATGATCTTATAGATATTGAACATCTAGCTGCTACTTATGATAATCCTATAGATGTTGAACGTCTAACTACTATTTACGATGATCCTATAAATATTGAAGAGGAACATCTAGCTACTGTTCAAGATGACACTATAGATGTTGAGAAAAATATAGTTCAAAATGAAAATATTAACGTTACAGATGACCTTACTATTAATATTGGGAATTCTTTTCCTTCATGGGAATTGGCTGAATCATATCTTGAAAAGTATACAAAATTGATAGGATTTCCTTTACGTCGTAAGCGTTTTGAAGTTAACAATGTTGGAATCATATGTCGTCGAACATTTGAATGTGGTTTTGCTGGTGAACCAGTATCTAATAAAGTAGTTGATTCAAGTCGTCAATGTAATCAGTTATCTAGAAAAATCAAATGCCAATGGCATATAAACCTTAACATGACAAAATTATCACTGGAAATAAGAGTCACTAGTCTTGTTAATCAGCATATCATGATTTGTTGCCTGATATGGCTTTATATGATCCTAAGTATCGCAAATTATCAAATGAAATAATAGAAAAAATCAAGTTTTATGTAACTAAAGGAAATATGGGTTCGAAACAGATATATCCTTTATTGGTAGCAGGTTTTCCAGAACAGTTTATCTGCAAGAAGGACCTTTATAATGCTATTCAAAAATTTAAAGCACCTTATACCCAACGTCAGGGTGATGCATAGCATATAATTAATAAATTGTTAATGTTGAAAAACCAAGAGCCTGGTTGGATTATTAATACAAGGCTTGACCCGTTTGATAACCGACTTGTTGGTTTATTTTGGATGTCACCTATTCAACGTCAATGTCTTATGCGTTATAACGATGTGGTGCAAACAGATAATACATGTCGAACCAATTGGTTCGACATGTATTTGGCTTTATTAGTTGTCGTGGATAATAATACCAAAAGCAGGCTTGTTGCACAATGTTTGTTAGAAGATGAGATGACTGAGAGTTATGAATGGTATCTTAATTGTGTTCTACAAGCAACTAATAATAATCTACCAATCTGTATCTTTTTGGATGCTAAGCCAGCACTAATAAATGCAATATCATTAATAATGCCTACTACTCACCATTTTCTTTGCATGTTTCATATCCAAGAGAATCTAAAAAAAAATTTACGAAGTAAACTAGGTCAAAATTTTGAGCCTTTTTATAAAAAATTCTTGTATGCCCGGAACAGCTTATACGAAAATGACTTTCAACGTCGTTGGGCTTGTCTACTCAAACAATACCCTCAATCCCAAGAGTATCTTAATCATACCTTACACAATTGCTATAGAAAGTGGGCGAAGTGCTTTCAAATCAGATTTTTTATGGCCAGAATTCAAAGTATACAAAGGGTTGAAGTAATGAACAAGCTAATTAAAGAAGGTGCCAATAGCACTTCTTCGTTATGCAATTTGCATGATCAAGTTCAATAGTTATTAGACAATGAAGGTCAGTGGGCTCGTCATAATGCATATCTTCAAAGTCTCCTGAGCAATCAAGCACTTTCAGTCGTTGAACCAATATTTCATGAGGTTATAACTTTTCTATTACTTTTTTTTTTCTTTTATATAATACCGAATCATTATACTGTACAGTGGATTTTACGTTATATTATTTGTTGCATGTCTACGTATAATATTTAGGTGTTTGAGCTAATTAAGAAATACCTACCTTCTCATATTTTATCTGTTCAAAAACAACAAATTGAAGGATCTTTATTATATCGTGCAACCTTGATTTCTAAAGAATCGGCTAGTCTTATAGAGAAAGATCTTAACCAGTTGGATTATGACGATAGCTTCCTTGAAGATCAACTTGATAGACCTCAAACGTCTCTCTATTCTCTTTTAGTTGATATACAACCATCTGATATTGTAGAAGTCTGGGAGCTCTTCGGGATTACAAAGTCGTATAAGCATTATGTTATTTGTTTAAATGATAGTGGACATATATGCACTTGTTTGTCCATAATCAATCGTGGACTCGTATATGCACATTTTTTTCAGATTATGATGACTTCAAAGAATGCCAAGTTTAATATTGGTCTGATTGCAAAAAGATGGTATCTAGAAGACATTCAAGATCAAGATGATCAATTAAAATTACAAGAAACTGTAGGGGTATTAACACAATTTCAGCAAAACAATAATGTAGAAATGATGAATAATTTACATTTATTTAATAAGTTCAGACCACAATGTGCATTTACAAGTGAAATAAAAAAACAAGTGCGAAGAGAAGTTAGATACGCCCAAGGTTTCGGAAAGGTTAAGAAAGCCTTAATTTGGCTCTAGATTTAAATTGTGAAGATGAATTTCTCGATATGATAAGCAACTTTATTACCCGTAAAAAAAGTAGCATAGAAAGCACAAGCAATGAGGAAAATTTATGCGTCTTAGATCCCTTGGTTCAAAAACAACGTGGACGTCGACCAAATAAACGTATTAAATCAGCAACAGAGAAGTCATATCACAGTAGCTCTGAAAACAGCGCAATCAACCCACCCGATCCCAATTTGACATCTAGAGTTGCAAATAATGAAAATCAAACAAATACTTATGTCTCTGATCTTTCTGTTCAGAAACGACGTGGACGTCCACCAAAATCAGTATCAGAGAAAAAGGCTAACCAAAATAACTCTAATAATGTTTTATTAAATGTATCTGATTATGAAGATACAAATGTACGTACACAACCGATGCAACAACGATATGTATTTAGAAATCCTCTTCGCACTCTTAATAGCAATGATATTCATATTCAAGAAAAAACTGATAAGGATGATACTGATGAGAATGGCGATGATGTGTCTGATTCTGATAAATCATTTATTGTGGATGAAAATATAGTCAAGTGTAAATACGTATGTAAAGCATGTGGCAAATCTGGATATAATATCCGAAAATGTAAATTTCAAGAGTGAATTGAATTATGTAGCGATTTGGTTTTGTTGTCTTATAGTATGCTTATACATTATATACAATAATGGCCTTTATACAATATGTATTGCTTATAATACGTATATATAGAACAATATTACATAGCATTAAATTGTATGTATGGTAAATGTAAAATTTATATTAAAGGCAATAATGTCACGTGAATATTGTGTTGGTACGATGTA